CTTTTCAGTTTTGATTTCCTCGAAGAGGCGGGGCTGTCAGTTGCTTCCAGTTTCTGACATGGTCTTTCCAAGCTGGGCTTCCTTAGCATCCTACCCAGAACAAAACAAAACGCATAACAAAACAGATCTCTTTTTTTCAGGGTTCCTTCCTGTTGAAAAAGTTGTTTTAAAGAGCAATCTGTGCATGTTAGAGAAGAGGGGACATCAAATCAGGACACTTCAAAGGTAGCTGGTGGGTCCCCAACCCAGCTTTCAGCTCCTGAAAATATTTTGGAGGCAGCTGTGCATTCTTTTTATTAAAAACAAATGAAAAGCTAGGCACATGCCTTTACACAGAGGGCAAAAGGCTGTGTGCACACGGAGAGGCACTGAAGAAGCCAGGAAAGCTGAACACACAGCTCACCTCTTCAGCAGAAGGAGGTGTGCTGCTGCTCCCCCTAGAATGCCGGGAGTGATGTCCTTTTACAACCTCACGACCCCTTGTGTCTGATGAGACAGACTGATATCACTCTTTGGAGTGATGTCACTTGTGCTTTAGGACAGCGTGAGTGACTTCTATACGATTCTAGGGCCAGGCCAATCCTGGCTCCTACAGGCCTCATGTTTTCCTCAGCCGTTCTCCCCAGAACCTTATCTTGAGCATTGTTCCTAAGTCAAGAAGAATCTGTTTTAGGATTGGAGCCGTATTCACTTTGCTCAGAACTTCAATGTCAATGTGTCTTACACTGTTGTTGTGCACTTAGGAATGAGTTAATTGTTATCTGACTATCTTTCCCCCAAGTGTGCTGCGCTTAAATATGCTGAGAGGGTCAGGCAAACATGTCAGGCCCCTGATAAACTAGGCCACAGTTCACAAACAAAGGGCGATTAGGCCCCTGACCCTGGAGGAGACAAGTACCCCTGTGCCAACACACCTTCTGCTCCACAGATGATGACCAAATAAGGACAAAGCCTGGGGCTTGTCCAGACTTGCCCAAGAGTGGAAAAGCTATAGCCTTGGCCCACCCCTGCTAGCCCAAACCCATTAGAAATGTACTAATATGATTGCCACTTATGTAAGCCAGTAGAGTGGTCACCCTGCCTTTAAAATTCCTGTAGTGGTGCTTAAAAGGGGCTTACACATCCTTCTCAAGGTCATTGCCATTTTGTACAGGTGTGTGCTACCCCACATGCTTGTTGGTATAACAAAATCGCTCTTGCTGATTGCACCATGACTGGTGCTCTTTTGGGGACTTCTTTTCTTTTTGTTTTTTGAGACAGGGTTTCTCTGTGGCTTTGGAGATGGTCCTGGAACTAGCTCTTGTAGACCAAGCTGGCCTTGAACTCACAGAGATCCACCTGCCTCTGTCTCCCCAGTGCTGGGATTAAAGGCATGCGCCACCAACACCCAGCTCCTTTTGGGGACTTCCTGGGGACCCCCAACAAAGGCTAGAAGTCCTGGTCCAGCACTGATTACAGTAAAATCTTATATTATCTTTAAATTTTTAAATTTATTTTTTATGTATATGAGTTCTTTGCAGGCCAGAAAAGGGCCCCAGTTTTCATTACAGATGGTTGTGAGCCACCATGTGGTTGCTGGGAACTGAACCCAGGTCCTCTGGAAGATCAGCCAGTGCTCTTAACCTCTGAGCCATCTCTCCAGACCCTGCATTATCTTTTTTAATGTGAAGCATACCAACAAGACAAACCTGTCTGTGAGTTTGCCATTTTCACCAGGAGACCTAGTAGTCCTAGAAAAAGTGAGTCCTGATTTCATGTACAAAATGCATTGACCAGGCAGTGGAGGCTAACTGAAAAAGTTACAGTAGCTTTCAACACCACTGGAGAACAGAGAAGGATACATTTGAACAGGAAATGCAACCCAAATGGCCTTTATATAAATTAAAATAACAGAGACTTACATTTATGGCTGCCTTTGCTTTCTCCATGGAGATCTTGATGGTTTTGTTGGAGCCAGAGTTCCCAGGGTGGCACCAGGAATGTACCAGTCTTTGGCCTTCCCACAGGACATCATTAACTCTTTGATTGGCACAGGGAGCATTGCTGGCCTCTGGCTGTCAGACCCAGAAGATCTGAGAGACTTCCTGTGGGTAAGGAACTTGAGAGACTGGCCTACCTCAGTAAGGCAAAGAGGGGCAGTCAGTTCTCTATAGTGTTCTCAAGGTAAGGCTCTAGGGAGAATGGCAGAGGTAAACATAAGGCCTGTAAGAGCCAGGATTGGCCTGGCCCTAGAATAATAAAGAAGTCACTTATGTGGTCAGATTCACTGTGGAGCAGCCCGATGCATTTGTACACCATGTGTCTTGTGCTTATGGAGTCTCTGTCCTGTTTTGTGTATGTATTGTGTATGTGTTCATGAGAAGTTATACACATATATTTGTACACGAGAGAGGACACAGGGTGTCTTCCCGTATACTTTGTCACTTTCTCCCTCACAGGCAGGTCTCTCTGTGAACAAGGAACTTGGCTGACATCCAGCAGGCCACATAGTCACTGTCCCCCATAGTGTCAGGGTTACTGGTCTACGGACAGCACTTCCTAAGTTTAGGTGGGTGCTGGGGATTTGAACTCAGATCCTCATGCTTGTGCAAGATTGCCCTTATCCACTTTGTTATCTCCCCAGTCACTGGGTTTTTACTGTGTGATTTTCTGTAGGGCCTAAGTTAATATGTCTAGATACTGAGAGGAACAGGACTGTGTGTGTGTGTGTGTGTGTGTGTGTGTGTGTGTGTGCAGGCAGCAGGCTATGGGATACATGTGGGTGTGGCCGTGTGTAGCTGTGTGTGTGCGCACATTTGAGTGGAATTGACAGGCAGCAGGCTGGGTCTTAAGTGTGGTGTGGTGTGGAGATGTGTGGCCATGGGTGCAGCAGGCCATACCATCAGGATTTGACGCTGACACAGGACACAATCACCTGCTGATGGAGTTGGGAACACATTCAGTCATTCAGTGACGTAGGAGGGTCTCTCCCTTGTGTGTGTATTTTCAGCTTCATGGCCCAACACACAGGAGGGCTCATCAGCTAAGTCATCTGGGGTAGGTGGGGTCATCCATTGCTGTGTCCATTGTCTTCTTGGAGATCTTGGGAATCACTGCTAGGATCTAAGAGTTTCTGCTGTTGTATAAATTTAAAATCTAAATTCCACATTCAGCAAATCTCTGACAGTTTGAGGACCTGGGTCAAACAACCTTCGTTTGTTTTTAGCAATTTGTTATACGCTATACCCTGAAAACATTTAAAAGGCTGGATAAATGTTTTCTGTATTTGATTACATTAGTACTTAGTGTGACTTGTAAGTATAGTTTTGGACATCTCAAAGCTTAATCGTCTTTAACAGTTTATAATAAAACAATAATTTCTGAGATGGATGGACAGTTATTGTTCATGTATTTGATGGCCCTGTACATACATTGAAGTATGATTAATATTGCAAATGTAGTATATATTTTACCACAATAAAATTATCTAAATTAAAAATAACAATTTCTTAGTTGAAACTCTTTTAGTATCAAGATAAGGCTTTAAATTTATAAACATAGTCTACAAAGTGTCTGGGAATTTTCCCGATCTTTACATAGTGTGCCATTATAGAATATAATAATTTCTCATATGACTCAGTTTACCAAAATAGCTTCAGCTTAGTTATATTAGTGTTCTGCACAGTCCTCGAGACCCCCAGAGAGACCACCAAGGAGCCAACTCACCAAAAGCAATCATAAGGTTTCTTTATTGAATTCAAGCCTAGGCAGGGACCTCATCCCACAGATGACATGGCAGCTCAGAGAAGGTCCCGAGCCCCACAAGCAAGCGGTTTATAAAGACACATATCGCAGGAGAGCATGAGGGGTACAGGGTTAGAGCTGATTGGCTGGGGTGTCTGGAGGAACCTGTGGAGTTTTCCTAGATTATCTATGGCACACGTGTGCTAACCCTGGTTTCTGTAGATTTATCTCTGGCGCCTTATGTGCTCTCTGTATGTGCCACATGTGCCTGTAAAGGTTGTTTTTACAACTCTGTTAATTGACTAACCCGGGGTCAGGGCCATTTGGGGTTATCTGTTCTTCCTGACATTCAGTTTTTCTCTGTAAGTGGGGGAGTGTTGCATAAGCCAGCTGTACTAGTCATGGGATGAAGTTCTCATATGCTGTTGTTGTTGTTGTTTTTTTTGTTTGTTTTTATTTTTCTGAGACAGGGTTTCTCTGTGGCTTTGGAGGCTGTCCTGGAACTCGCTCTGTAGACCAGGCTGGCCTTGAACTCGCAGAGATCTGCCTGCCTCTGCCTCCCGAGTGCTGGGATTAAAGGCGTGCGCCACCAACGCCCGGCCCATCTCTGGTTTTGTGACCCAGGGAAACCTGATCCTGTTCCACGGGGGACACCGACCACTGGATACCTCCCACCTGGGACAGGTCTCTCATGCAAGGGACCCCCTGATAAAAGAGAGGCATCCCTCCTCTTCCCTGGTGTCAAGGAGCACTGCCCTGTCTGACTGGGGGTTCAGGGTAGGAGGTGGGGTTGCCAGCCAGGAGGGACGTGCAACAACCAAGCAGAGACTGAGGCATGCTGGGAGCACCGAACGGCCAGGTCCACTTTGATGTGTTAGGGTCACCTCAGCTAGACATTTGTCCTGGCTTTGAGACCTAAAAAGCTTGGCTACACAGGCCTTTGAACCCAGCACTCAGGAAGCAGAGGTAGGAGAATCTCTCAGTCTGAGGCCAGCCTGGTCTATGGAGCGATTTCCAGAACATTTAGGGCTACACTGAGAAACCCTTCTTAAATAATCAAAATCTACAAGAAGATAAAATGAATAAAAAACCCAGCTGCTTGCCTGGTTTTGTTTCTCTTTTTAATGTAGACTTGCAGTTCTAGGATTGCAGAAAATCTAAACAGAAAGTCCCCAGAAGCCCGGTCTCCTACTCAGAGTGTGACAACCAGCCCTACCTGGTGACACTGTGCCATTGCTTGTACAGGAAGCAATGTCCCAGTCATTAGTGCACATGGA